ATCCTTCCAAGAGTGGAAGGAATCATAATATGACATCTCCTCCCAAATAGCACGAAGCTTAGCGATGTAACCTGAAACTGTCAAGTCACCCTGAGAAATCCTGGTGATATCTCGCCCCAGCTGGAAAATTCGTGCATTATTCTACCTCTGAGAATAAGTGCGTTGAACTGAATCCAAAATCTGCTTAGCAGTCTTCATAAACATCTAGCCAACAGCTATGTTTGGTTGCATCGAATTGACTAGCCAAGACATAACCGTAGCGTTATCTGCAAACCACTATGGATATGCCTTCTCTGACTCAGCTGGCTCTTTCTCAGAACCAGTAATATAGCCGATCTTGCCTTTGCCACCAATGAACATCTTGGCAGACTGTGCCAAAATCAAATAGTTGGAACCATCCAACTTCACTGTGGTGATTTGAAGTCCTGGATTTTCTGATGAGTTGGTGGGAAAAATGTCACCACCACCCACAAAACTTGAGCCAAGAGAATTAACAGTCGAGAACCCTGAATCTGCCATAATCTGTCACACGACAATAAAAAAATTCCAAAAACACCAAAAAATTCTGTTAATAAATCAAAGGGTCTCCTCAGACCATAAATAATAACAATGTCTCCTTAGACCATTTTCAAAAAATCTAAATACATACCTTTTTTAAGGAGCGCTGCCTGCTTACATATAGCTTCTTACCGGAACCTCGTTGTCGACTAATTTTTTGTTTTTGTCCAAGCCCTTCTAGGTGTTGGAAACCGACTATCTTAATTTACCCAAGCCTAGAAGAGTGAAAAATAAATTGTAAAACTTAAAAATACCTGTTTTCGATCACAAAACAGCAACACAGAAAAACATATGTAGGCAACGTCACACGATGTCACAAACAGCCTAAGGTAGCTGTCGCACAAGTAGCAAGCCTGCTGAAAGGTGTGGAAGGGTGTTGGCTCTAATACCAAGTAGAAATATATAAAAAGAAGAGAAAGGAGAGAATTGCGTAAAGGCTTGAATGATATGAATTACTCATTCATAGCTTTAGTATTTATAGATAAAATGAGCACATGCTCATATTACAAGAAAAGAAACTAAATCAAATCAAAATCAAATCAAAACTTATTCTAAAGCATATTCTATAGCATAGTCAAATCTCTGCTATTATGGTATGAGTCATACCATAAATCGTGGTATCATATATGCCAACACTCTCCAAGACTCTGTCAAACCTCTAGTACATCGTGGCATAGCCCAATGAATCCTAAACAAACCATAAAACAAAAGGCAACAATCTCGAGCCATTGGGCAATGTAAAAGAAGATGATTAATCGATTCCTCATCATTTTTGCATATAAAGCACTAGTTAACCACAAGCATGCATAAACTTACTACACTCACTACATAAGCTATGTCAGGAACATATTTTCTTTATGAAACAAAGATCCCCTACTTCAACCTAGCAACTTCAGTACGTAGAGAAAATATTGTAAAGAACCAATGTCTTTGATCTCATTTTCTTTTGTGAGATGTGATTTCAGCTTACCCATCTTCAGTCACCATAATATCATCCATATACACGATCAAGGTGGTAATATTATCTGCAAGTGAATGTTTGAGAAAAAAAGTGTGGTCAGACTGGCTTTGGTGGTGTCCACACTTCTTCGTGGCATGAGTAAACCTGCCAAACCAAGATGTGCTTTAGTCCATACAAGGATTTCCTCAATCTGCATACCTTACCTGGGCGAAGCTAGGACGAAAGTCCATGTATAGTTCTTTTTCTTGATCTCCTTGAAGAAATGCAATCTTCACGTCTAACTGCTTAAGAGGCCACTCCAGATTTGCAGCCAAGGATAAGAGGACCCTGATAGTATTTATCTTAGCCACCGATGCATATGTTTCCTGATAATCTATTGCAAAGGTCTGGTATAGCCTTTAGCTACCAATCTTGCCTTGAATCCAGTGTTATCAAAGGCGCAAGGTGCTAGAGGTCCTCTAGAGTGTAGGCGCAAGGCGAGGCGCGACCTCGAGTGAAGTGAGTCGCGTAATGGAAAAATTAAATTACTATTAATGAATTCATTTTCCATATTAAAGGCGCTAATGTTGTCAAAGGCCCGCCTGGGCACACAACAGGCGCAAGTCTTGTGTCTGTATGAGCCTGGAACTAACTGTCTTCTTTCTATCTGGTTGTTCAACTAGTTCCCATGTAGAAATTTTCTATGAAGCTTCCATTTCTTCAATCATAGAAGCTTTCTACTTCGTGTTGTCTAGGACACGTTAAGATAAACGATGTGAAGACACATAATGAGAGATGGGATATTTAATGATTGGAAATTTATAACGAGAGGGGGGTTTTCTTTTTTGAGTGGGTTTGCAAGCCTGATTTTCAAGAACTAAATGATTATCAACATGTGATTAATCAATGTCACGACAAATGTAGCAAACCCAACATCGAATCAAGAATAACGACATAACAGTAAACACACCACACAAGGAACACATGTTTATACGTGGTTCGGTAACAGTTTACGTCCATGATGGAGATCCTGCTAAAGTCTTCACTATGTGAAAAATCGGAGATTACAAGTTTTCATCCCCACTCTGTTTCTGTACGGATTTCAGAGTCTCTCTTACACCACTCCAAACCCTAAGTGCCCTTATATATCTGGCTACAGGAGACTAATTAGGGTCCACGACCCACGAGGAAAAAACGGGTCGTTGCGACCTGGCACCAAATTCGGGCCACAACATCACAATCAAGTTGATCAATAGGTAACTGAGTGGACTCATCAATTTGTGTATCAATAGGGAATTTTGAAGAAGGGACTACCTCACGGAGCGCCTAATTGGTCATTGGGTTCATCAAGAAGTGGCTGATTGGTCTTTGTCTTCTCCCTTCTTGAGTATACCAACTGTGTGGCTCAAGGAATTCCTTTGAAGTCGGTGCAGAATTTCCAGCAAATGATGATATGCTCATTAAAGGTAGTGGTAGCACATCCCAAAACTTAGCTTCATTTCTCAGATTCTCCCCCTGAAGAGAAGCGTCTAAATCTCCCCTTGAATAGTAAGCCTGATCTTGAGCAAAAGCAACATCCATTGAATCAATCATCTTTGCTGAAGGAGGGTAATAATAGCATTTGTTCAACAAGCCTGATCTTGAACAAAAGTAACATCCATTGAAACAATCATCTGCTGGTTATCTCTCATTTGCTCTTTGTGGAAGACCCCATTGTCTTTTGTGATGCTAGGGTGTATCAGTTAAGGTTTTTGAGGCGTGTTCTGGCTTGTTTTCTACTTGTCTCAAGTTAAAGATCAACATTGGGAAAAGCAAGTTGGTTTTAGTCATGGCAGTGATGGCATGCTCCAGATATCTTATCTAGGTCTTCCCTTGGGGACAATTTGGGATCCCGTGGTTGAACGATTCGAGAGAAGACTTGCTGGGTGGAAGAAGTAATATCTTTTCATAAGGGGGACGATTACCCTTATGAAGATCACTCTTTCGAATCTTTCTACTATTTTATTTTTCTATTTTCAATGCCAAAGACCGTTATTCGAAGATTAGATATGATTCAGAGGAATTTCATGTGGGGTGGCATTGGTGATGAGTTCAAATACCATTTGGTGAACTGTGAGAAGGTTTGCTCCCCTATTCAAATTGGACCTTGGGTATCTGAAGGTTGGACTTGTCAACAAGGCTTGTTGGGTAAGTGGTTATGGATATTTGGGTGCGAGAGGCCTCGTGAAAGCGAGATTTCCAACATGTATGGGCATTTGGAAGCTTATCCGGAAGGGGTGGGATGAGTTTTCCAAACGTATTCGGTTCAGAGTGGGAATCTCATCAGGCTTTGGGAGGATCTCTAGTGTGGGGACATTTTTTTGACTCGTAGGTTCCCTCGGTTGTTTAGGATTGCTCTGAGTAGGCATGCTTTGGTTGCCAACTGTTAACGACTTGATACCGGGAGGTTGAGTTGGGATGTGTAGTTTCGTAGAGAGTTTCATGATTGGGAGCTTATGGAGGTTGCTGAGTTCTTAGCTTTGCTCTACAGTTAGGTGGTGGAGGGGGTGGGGATGAATGAGATTCTGCGGGTGTGTTCGCCAAGTGGGGTGTTTGAGGTTTGGGCTTTTTATCATAGTCTTGTGGCAATTCTAGGTCGCTCTTTCCCATGGAAGGCAATTTGGAGGTCGAAAGCACCCTTGAAGGTGGCATTTTTTGTGTGGTGTGCTGCTCATGGAAGCATTCTCACTCTCGACGATCTCAGAAGAGAAGACAGATCGTGATTAATTGGTGTTGCATGTGCAAGAGGGCACAGCCTGAACCAACTCCACTGCCTAGTGGCAAGGGATGTTTGGGCTATGTTTTTGGTTGTGCTTGGTTTCTCTTGGGTGTTCCAAAGATCCACAGTGGTTATGATTGAGGTTTGGAGAGGGCGTCTAGTGGAGAGCTGAGCCAGGGATGTTTGGAAGGCCATTCCCCTTTGTTTATGGTGATGTTTGTGGCGTGTGTTTGAAGGAGAGGAGAATCCTATTTGGACTCTCAAATATTGTATTCTTCATACTGTATTCTTTTGGGTTATTGTTCGTAATTGTAAATTTTTGGGGCATCTTTTGGATTTTGTGGATAGTTTGAAGCTTTACTTGTCGGCTTTGGCCTCTTGTGTATTCCTTGGGAGTGCTCCCCTCTTGAGCACCTTTTTAAAATGAAATCTTACTTGTAAAAAAAAAAAAAAGAAAAAAAATTTCAAACTTTTTAACAGAAAGTTATTACATTTGTGTCTAAATAACTTTTACTTGGATTGTTAGTCAAATTAATATTAAGTTGTTTATATAGAGAAACTAATTTCTTCAAATTACTGTTAAGATCACATCGTTCATTTAGTTGGCTAATAATCTAGAAAATCATATTAAGATTGGTGTGCTTTTGATGTCTAAAATCTTTTCGGATTTGATTGGTGGGTACACTATTTTTTCCGTTCGCTCTATATTCTACTGGTTAATGAATTTTTCTGCTTTATTTTCAGGGTTCTTCCTTTGAAGAGGGCTGCCGAAGAAAAGACTCAAGCAATACGTGCAGCTGTTTCATCTAATTTCAAGTCCATGCTTCGAGACAAAGGAGATATTACTACAAGTTCTCGCTGGTCTAGGGTAAGTCAATTTGTCTAAATTTTCTTGCAAATTACTGTGTAAATGATGCATTTTTCTCAGAAAACATTGTGTAGGGAAAAATATCTCCGTGCATTCAAATAAAAGGTTCAATACGCATCTTCATCATCAGGCTATGGAAATGTCCTTGTGTGCATAGTTCCAGCTTTCACAATCTGCAATCATCTTGTAAAATATATATTTTTATGACCAAGTTCCACAGATTTTTCCTATATTTTCCTGTTTTTCGTATACACACTCGTCCCATAAATTGTAGGAAAAATCATTTTTGACATCTAGTAATTTATGGATTGATGTAATATTTGAGTTGTGACTTCAGTAATTCTGGGTTTAAAAAATATGAGGTTTGTGAAAATTTATAGCCTGGATGTTTACGAGAGTGAGTGTTTTGGGAAACCTGGATTAATTATATGTTAGTGATATCTTGGAAGTAGGGATGGCAACAGATGACAGGGCTTCCTAAATCCTACTGTGTCATGTTTAATCATACAATAGTCCATCCCATCCTGATTCTGCCCTGTTTAATGTTAGATAGCGATGTGAAGATGACGACGATGATGATTTACCTCAGAATGGGACTGAGACATTGAAGAGAGTGAGGCAAGGAGGCCGAATAGAGGTTTGAAGATGCAGAGAAGTAAAAAGCCAGAGAGCTAATGCAGCGACGAAGAGAGAAGATGAAACAATAGTGCAGATGCGCAAGCCCAGTAATGCACAGAGGTATAGAGAGTTGAGAAGAAGCTCTAGATTGTAGCCTTGTAGGGAAGATATTGTGGAAAGATCTAGGCTGAATTGTTAGGAAATTAGTTAGGAGGATTTTTGGGAATTATCTATAGTTAGATAGTTGACTTTTTTAAATTTTACACAAGTAGTTCCTATATTATAGGAATTGTAATATGTATTTTTCTTTTCCTTGGATAGTTTTTGTAATACACTTCCTTATATATAGGCCTGTCAACTAACATATGTGATATGAAAAGAGAATATCAGAATTTATTCTTTTTCACCTTTGTGTTCATGGTATCAGAGCCGCCCTCACTAGGACGATAAATTACTCCATTGTTCTGCTGATTATCCGATAAAATCAGCGAACATTCATCGTTAATTCTGGTCTAAACAACCAGAATTATAGAAGACTTATTCTTCTATTTCTCTTCGTCGTTTTTGGACGATTTCTTTGGTTAAATCCGCGATATTAGGATCTTCACCTCATTACCTCTTAAAGTGTTTGGATGCATGGGACCGTTCAAAACTTGATCCTAGGGCTGAAAAGTGCATGTTTGTTGGGTACTCTCCTAAACAGAAAGGGTATAAATGTTTTAACCTCACCTCTAAAAAATTCTTTGTGAGTATGGATGTGACCTTTTTTTGTAGACTCAACCCTATTCCACCAAAAATACTCTTCAGGGGGAGAATAATGAGAGGGAAGACCATTTTTGGGAAGTGTTGGGCTCTTTACCATTGCCGAGTGTTTCACCAAACTCTACCTTACCTACTGAACCTACTGAGCCCACTATTTCAACCTCTCCGAAGCTTATTGAGTTAAACATTATAGACTACACTTCAGGTGGAGAACCATTTCAAATCCAACCTCAATCTGAGCTCCGTGTTTACTCTCAAGGATCAAAATAAAGTGCACCAACCTATTACCTGGCAAGAAAATTCTCCGGATAAAGGCAACTTGACTGAAATAGGTATTTCTGTCTCTAATCCATCTTTAATTCCTGAAACCAGCAATGAAGAGAGCCTTTCTGATGACCTTGATATTCCTATTGCACATAGGAAGGGTACTCGCTCTTGTACCATGCATCCTATTGCTAAATATGTGTCCTACCACATAGTCTCCAAATTATAGAGCTTTTACCACTAATCTCTCTAGTGTTTCAATTCCTAGAACTATACACGAGGCCTTGAATCATACTGAGTGGAAGGCAGCAGTCTAGATCTTTCCACAATATCTTCCCTACAAGATATAAAGAATGCTTTCCTTCATAATGACTTGGAGGAAGAGTTGTATATAACTATGCCACTAGGTTTAAGCTTGCCAATGGTCAGAATTTAGTGTGCAAGCTAAGTAAAGGCTTGTATGGGTTAAAGTAGTCGCCACGTGCTTGGTTTGAGAGGTTCAGCACTGTTGTGAAAAGAGTAAGGTACACACAGAGTTAGACTGATCATACTCTCTTCATCAAGAAGCACCAGGGTTGCACCATTGCCCTTATTGTATATGTTGATGCTGTTGCTAAACTTGCTGTCACTGGAAATGATCCAGAAGGGATTCGTTGAATGAAGTCATTCTTGGGGACAGAGTTCGAGGTTAAAGACCTTGGATCATTGAGATACTTTCTTGGCATCGAGGTGTGCAGATCGAACTAAGGGGTGTTCATTTCTCAACGGAAGTATGTGTTAGATTTGTTGGCTGAAACAGGCAGGCTTGGAGCTAACCTATTGATATTCCCATTGAGCAGAACCATTGGCTTAATGATGTAGATGGAGATCCATTAGTTGATGTGGGAAGATTTCAGCGATTGGTTGGGAGACTGATTTACTTATCTCTCGCACCCGGATATTGCCTACGCTGTTACTGTGATTAGTCAGTTTATGCATGATCCACATACGCCTCACCTTGAGGCAGCTCATCATGTTCTTCGCTACCTCAAGCTTCACCTGGTAAGGGGATATTGTTTGGTAGTCATCGCCACTTGCGTGTTGAAGCCTATACTGATGCTGATTGGGCAGGTTTTGTGACAGATCGACGATCTACTTCAGGATATTACATATTTGTTGGAGGTAATCTTGTTTCATAGTGAAGCAAGAAACTGTATGTTGTAGCTAGATCTAGTGCGGAGACTTAGTTTAGATCCATGGCACATGGAGTTTGTGAGTTTTAATGGCTACGTATGACGTTGGGTGAGTTGGGTTATCCTGTTCGCAAATCAATGAAGTTGTATTGTGACAACAAGGCTGCTATTAGCATTGCCCACAATCAAGTTCAACATGACAGGACAAAACACATTGAAGTCGATTGACACTTCATCAAGGAAACGCTTCGCCTTGGTCTGATTTATACTCCATACGTCAATACACATGATCAGGTTGCTGATGTTTTGACTATGGGTGTGAGCAGGACTCGCTTGCAAAATATGTTAGTTAAGCTAGGCATGATAGATATATTTGTAGCAGCTTGAGGGGGAGTGTTGTCAGGGGCTTATTTGTTATTACTTGTATAATGTTGGGGCTTATGTGTAATTTTTGAAACTTCTTATTATAAATAGAATGTGGTAGAAGGATGAAAGTATTCTTTTCATTCTCTCTCTCTTTCCCCATCTCTCTCTCTTTTTCTCTCATCTTATTTCTTCTCCCTTTTTTTTTTCTTTTCTTCTTTATCACTTACTATTGATTTCATTATATCTTAAAGTCAACACTTTATTAGCCACCCCCCTTACGCGAGAAGGGTCTTTAGTTCAAAGGTCGATTCACCACAAAAGCATCTTATGCAAATACTCTTGGGATGAGACTTCCTACTCTCTGCTTCTTACTACAACAGTGTTCCCTTTCTATAGAACCATGCTTCGTCCAGGACAGTAGAATCTATAGCCTTCACGACTCTATTCTTTGTTCTTCCTTTTATTGGGTTTTGGGGAAAAATTGTAAATCTGTATAGTAGATTTTATGGACACTCTGAGAGTTTAAATGATTTGTTTGGCCTTGTGTAGTCTTCATGGGATGTGTTCCCCTTTCGAAAACTTTCTAATAGAATCTGACTCATCAAAACAATAAAAGTGAGGAGACCTACTGTGATGGATGGGTACCATTGTTCGCTGCTTAACGTGGGGTATAAATGCCAAATATCCCATTTAAAAACTTTAAGTACCAATCAGATTAGGGACGGGCTAGGAGGGGATCCCGACTGATGGGCTGGCTTATTTGCTGTCACAACCCAAATCCGTAGGATCCGAGTCATGAACGGATGCGGATAGGAACCGGGCTCTTACCACACTGAAGTACACTATTGGGGTAAAACAGTCATTTCAAAGCAAGGGTGGGGGATGAGTTGACTCTACACAAGTCTCAAATGGGTTTGCTTTTGGTCATTTTACCCAACTAAAACCATCCCGTGCAGTTCTAGTGGCTATGGTTATAGTTTCCCACAATTATGTACTTTTGGTTTAAGAAATTTCAGAAGCAATCCGTACTAAAAGGGACATAACTCTTTATATGGATGGAGTCTTTGTATTGGGTTGGCATCATTGGAAAGCTGACTTAAAAACCTTCAGTTTGGACACATATTTGACCCCATTTGGATTCAAAATGAAGGAGTTATTACCGATTGAAGTTGGCCCAAGAATGCAGGTGAACTGATAGTTTCAGTCGACTGAAACATGTGTCAGCGGGCTGAAACTGGAGTTTCAGTGGCTGACAGGGAGGATCAGCCGATTGAAACAATGTTTCTGGGTGCAAGTATTCTCTTTTGGGCCATCGGTTGGCTGGTGGACTGTGCCAGCCGGCTGGTAGCACCCGGAAGTGCACAAAATGGCCCTGATTTGACACTTTAGCTATGGAGACCCTCCTTGGTCTCAAGGTAGGTTACTCACGATTCCAAACCTGCTCAAAAATACATCAAGCTGAGAACATGCAATTAAGGTAGAAGCCAAAATGAATAGCTAAAAAGTCTTGACTTATGTCAAGATTTAAATGCCATGCATCACATATCCTTACAAGTGACCAAATCGGATTTAGATACCAATATACATGCCCAAAAATAAATGTCCCAAGCTATACAAGTCTTGCCCCAAAGGCTATACATCGCAAAATGATCATAAACATGGCCTAAATCCACAAGGAGCAAGCTATACATGCCAATGACAACAAAAGAAGTCCATCCGAGAAACTTCATAACTTCATGCGTGTGGTTGAGGACTCTCCTCTACCTCTTTGCCATTTCCTGAAAAATGTTAAGAGTCCACTGGAGTGAGCACAAGGCT